TGGGGAGGGGGAGACTAGCATTACTCTTACCTGAGCTAAAAAAAAAACCACCTCTTTTCTTCCATCTCTCCCCAATCTGTTAAGGGAAAAACTACCCAGAAAGGTTTCCTGCTAACAGTGTGTATTTGTGTGTGGCGGGGCGGGGGAGCACGAAAGGCTATGTTTACATAACCAGCATGAACGGGGAGAATTGAGGCCACCAGCTCCTCAACCCCGCCCCCAGAACGTGCCTCAAGAACTCGGGCAACTCATGTTAACAAGAAATGTTTGCACGCTAACGACATTGCCTGGCTCCTTCAACTTGAGTTGTTTGAAGGCGGCTATATTCTTAAAGCGACTGCCTCTGATTCCTCCCTTCAAAACATGAGTTCCCCATCGCCTCCAGCCTCCTAGCTTCTACCTTGGCTCCCACCAAGGGCCTCTGGAATGGGAAGGCACTTCCTTCCTTACCATGTCCTTAAAGCCTCCAAGGACCGCGGCAGTGATGATGCCCAGGAACAGGCCGACGATGTTGAGGATGGTGGCAGACCAGAGCAGGTGGTAGAGGTGAATGATGTCTTGGCAGCTGCTGACGTCAATGTACTCGTAGTACCCACCGGTGATCTCCACGCGGCTGGACGGGGAGAGGCACACACCAGTCAGTCCCGGGGGAGCAGGCTGTCTCTCTCTCTCTCTCTCTCTCTCTCTCTCTTTCTCTCCCCCACACAACCCCCCCCCCCCCAGGGCTCTGGCTATCAAGCAGCTCAGCAAAAAGACAGGTGAGCAGGTGGGGAGCTCTGGTGAGGGACAGCACAGCCATGAATGTGCTGGGGGAGCGAGGCGCTATGATAAAATGTGACTGCTGTGTATCCAAAAGATAAATGAAAAAAACAAAAAACAAAAAACCTCCTACTGACCAGAGAAACCCTTGTCACCATCACTAACAGACTATGTATGCATATCTATCTATCATCCTAGATGTCGGTCGGATCCATGATTTTGAAAAATAATACAATTATAATAGCAAAAAGGGCTACAGTGCTCAGTCTTAGATAGCATATGTGGGCACTCGGTCTGTGCCAGGCCCAGTGCTAAGCGTTTCACATATGTGAATTCATGAAATCTGTGCTGTTGAATATGGTAGCTACTGCTCATGGCACCGTTTAATTAAATTAATTAAAATGAAGTAAAACAAAAAATTCCGTGCTCAGGCTCACCAGCCGCATTTCAAGTGCTCAAAAGCCACACTCCTAAGAGCCACACTGGAGGCTGGCAGAGCAGATTACATTCCCATCATTGCAGAAAGTTCTATTAGCATGGCAAATCCTTACGTTAGTCTATGAGGTGGGGCCTATCACCATTCCCATTTTCCAGATGAAGAAACTGAATCACAGAGAGGTTAGGGGCTTGCCCAAGCCATAAGTAGGAAAGCTGGCATCGGAATTCAGGCATCAAAGTTTTCCCCATTTCCTCTTTCAAAATAAAACAGCAACAAACACAAAAACATCGTCCCAGGAAAAAACTGAAGACATGCTGCTGCCCAAAACCTGAATCTCACCTCCCTGGAGAGGGCTTCCCTGGGCACTCAGTCCGAGGACACCCCCAGGCCCTCCCCGCCCGGCCACCGTCTCTCACGTGACTTGCTGTGAACTGAATTGTATCCCCTTCCAACATTGGCAAGTCGCAGCCCTAGCTCCCACTATGATTGCAATCCGACACAGACGGGGGTTTTTAGGAAGTCATTGAGGTTAAATGAGGTCAGAAGGGTGGAGCCCTAATCCGATAGGATTGATGGCTTTATAGAAAGTGGAAGAGAGAGAAAGAGAGAGAGAGGAAGAGATCTCCGTCTGCACCCACCGAGGAAAGGCCAGGTGAGGACCTGATGGGGGATGGGGAAGGTGGGTGTCTGCAAGCCAGGAAGAGAGACTCCCCCAGGCCTCGCCATGTGGGCACCCTGATCTCAGACTTGCAACCTCCAGAACTCTGAGCAAATGAATGTCTCTTGTCGAAGCCACCCCGTCTATGGTATTTACCACGGCAGCCCAGCCCGAGCTGACTGACAGGTTTACCCTCCTTGGATTGCTAGTATCTAGCACTTACTTGTTCCTGTCTATCTCTTGGACCTGAATGGAAGCTCTAGGGCAGGGACTCGGCTTGTTTTGTTCAGTAACATCCCTGACATGTAGCTGGTGCTACATAAACACTTGCTGAGCTGATTCACTGAAAGTTCCTGTCTTCTTGGATGTTGCAAACTAGCTTACAACTTGGCCTGGGAATCGTTAACGAATCTCCAGTATTGTGCTTCTTAAAAAAACTGAAGGTTAACCTCCAAAGGGAGGGATTGTTCATGCCAGAAAAGACTTTTCAGCATCACAAATGATTTTATTTTATCTTAGGATTCTTTACTATCAGTGTTTTCAGTGTTTTTTCTGAGGACTTGCCATCTGCGCGGTTACGGGACAGACTGCATCAGAACCATCTGCGTTTGTGTGTGTGTGTGTGTGTGTGTGTGTGTGCGCGCGCGCGCACGCGTGTGCACCTGCCTGTGTGTGTCAGTGCATGATTTGTGTGTCTGTGCACACATATGTCTTGGAGAAAGAGATGCTTAAACATGCAGATTCCCAGGCCTGGCTCCAGTCCCATAGAATTGGGCAGAATGTCTTAGGGTGAGGCTCAGGGATCTGTGTTAACAAGCTCACTGATGTTTGAAACCCACTGTTTTATTTGGTTTTGATTTTTTTTTTTATTTTTAAAGGAAACTCTGCCCCCTACGTGGGTTCCAACTCTCAACCCAGAGAACAAGAGTCACACACTTCCCCGAACAAGAGCCTGCCAGGTGCCCTGAAACCCACTGTTTTAAATAGTAAGCTTCTAGAGTAAGATTTTAAAGGTGTCTTCATTCATCAGAATTTGAACTGGATTTCAGTATGTTCAAGGGCAGAGCTGGAGCCCACTCATAAGTAGGAAGAGATACACAGAAATCTTATTGCCTAAAGCTTAAAGACCCATAACTCCCTGGGTACATCCATGAACATAGTAACTCCAAAGTAATTATTACTCGTGGCAGGTAGAATATTTTGCTCTTGAGAGTATCAAATAAGAATACATATATCTAGCTATCATCAGAGATGTCGATCAAATCTACAATTCTGAAAAATAATGCAATTATAATAGCAAAAAGTGCTATAGTCCTTACTATTACCTGGTTCTACTCTAAGCAGTCTGCAAACACTAACTCAGTCAATCTCTATAGTAACCCTATATGGTAGGGGCTATTTTTCTCCCTGTTACATACAGATGAGAAAAATCAAGGCAGAGACAGAAGGTAGAGGTAGAAGAGGTAGAGGCGAGATTTGAACTTGGACACTCTGGCCAGGAGTTTGTACTTAACCATGACATTTTGCTGCCTCTCGAAATCAAAACTGAGCACCACTGACATAGAACACTGTGGAATTCTGTTACTCTATCATTATGAATTACAATCAAGCAAATCAGATTTATATTTCATGCTACGTTTTTTGGATATTACTTGCACGTATCTTTTCTTTTTCATTGAACCTAATACAAAACCACAAGCCATAACATTGAAAAGAAGACCTATTTCATTATCTTCTTGAAAAATTCTTGCTTCTGATATAAAATATGAACATATCCCGTGTTTATTGGGATTTTAAGGCATTACTCTCAAGAGTATCACTTATTAATAGATTTATGCAGTGAAAAGAAAGATAGCTTACTGCCACAAAGAGGCACAGAGAGGACTGCCGAAAGGCAGGCCGGTGGGTAAGGGTGAGTGTGGGGTTGTCGGGGCACAGGAGAGGCTGAACACTCAGCTTCTGACTTCCCCCAGGTTATCTTTGTCTACTTCCCAACACACGAAGAGCAGGCCAGGAGTACACACAGACAGGCAGTACTGCACAGAAGACTCAAGAGTTGGACCACGTTTGGATCCCAGCTCTTGTCGCTTATTGTCTGACCCTCAGCAACTTTCTTAACTTCTCTGAGCTTCGGGGATTTAATGAGAGAATGCACGAAAGCACCACTCCAGCACCTAATAAGAGCCCCCGGCAAAATATGTAGCTATGCTTTTCTTCCCCCCTTCTAAGAGCCAGCCTCTGGCAATGAACCTTAGACTCTTGTTCTTAGAAGCATTGACACTTGAAAGGTGCAGACCACACCACTGTGATAGGTTAGTGGTTTGTTTAAAAATATTTAATAATTTTAGATACTATATGTTTGGTTCCAATTTGAGCAGGTTCAGCAGCTACTGAAGTATTTTTTACTTAACCATGAAGCGAAAGAACATTAATGCTTAGATCTGGTTCAGGGTTTAGCAAATGAATATGGTTTGTTTCTCTGTGAGATTCCGGATTCCACTTGGTTCAGTCTCTAGACTGTAAGGCCCTCTCACGAGACCCTACCACTGCCCGATTAAGCTTCTTTGAACATTTTGAAAACTAAATCATTCATTTAATCAAAATCCTCCGTGGCTCTCCATTCATTACCTTCCTGATAAAGAGTCCCAATTCCTCAGGCTGCCATAATCTGACTCTAGAAGGGAGTCTACACTCCAGCTAGCCTGGAGCCCCCAGGAGCCCCAGCCTGGCCATGCTGGCTACTTACTCCAAACCTATGCTCAGATTTCTGTCCCTGCATGGAGGGTGCTGCCTTCTGTTCTCTGCCTGTCCTAACCTCTCCCACTACTCGAAGCTTCCGTACCATCTCTCTAGTGTCTTCTACAAGGATTCCAGTGCCCTATTCATTGGCTTTTTTCCCTGGACTCCCACAGCCTCAGACAGCACATTCCTCTCAGTCTGGCACTTCGCAAATGTCAGTAATTCAGTTAGTCATTGAATCCAATGGTTATTGAGGGCCCACTCAGTGCCAAGAGCTAGGTTGGGTGCGGAGGTTACATTCAAGTTGGACATAATGTCTCCACCTAAATTGTAACCTCTCGAGGGTGACGGTCTTCTCTTACACTTCTGTTGTGTTTCCCTCACTGCCTAGCCCAGTGGTAGAAACATTCTAAGTCATCAATAAACTCCTGGTGAATGAGTAACTGAGTTCAAAGACTGATTGCGGCATTGATCATGAGCTTGATTGCCCAATATAGGCTTTCACCCTCTTGCTCTCAACTTGCTGGGTGCCCGTGGAGAAACAGATAACCTCTCTGTGTTTCAGTCATCATTTAACAAAGGAGGAGGCAACAGACCTTGGATAAGGCAGCAGGACATCCTTCTGCCCTTCCATAGGGACCTGGAACCCTGGAAATCTGCACGCGGGACTAAGCTGCCCTCCCCACAACCCCCACTGGTAAACTGAGTTCCATAAGGGTAAAATTATGCTTTCTCCATACCTATTCTTCTCGAACAGTCCCTGGCACATATTTTAGGAGCTCTGTAAAAGTTTGTTGAAGGGAGGAATGAATGAAAGTAAGCTGTCTCTTTCTGTTTTATTACCAGTGGAGACAGCTGACAGACTACCCCATATCCCTCCATTTCCTTTAGGTGATGCATTGGCAATCAGTGATATTGACCTGACCTCTCCAAAGCTGAGCGAAGGGCTTTGAGGAGCTGCGTCCTAGAGAAAGCCACCTTCCTGCACAAGGCTAAATGGAATAATCTATGTTTGGTATTAAAACCTCACTGCCTTGACGTCAGAGAAGGTCTGTGGGTTTGAGGGGACAGTAGAAACTCTGTTTCCATAGCACTATACAAATGACTGCCTGATGTTTTTGTTCCCACTTTTTTTTTTTTCTTTCTTGGCCTCCTTTCCAGGAAATGGACTGGAGGAGCTGGCAATTGATTAAAAATAGGTTTCGTGTGAGGAAAACAAATACACACTCGGCAAAATTAAAGTCCCCACATCTCTCAGAATGCTTGTTGTTAGCTATATTTAGGCCTGGAGTTCAGGTCTCTTTGGCACTGACTGGAAAAAGCCTATGGACAAGGAAAAACTTTCCCCTCTATTGTAGGATCGTTGCCTCTTCAAATCTCGTGGCCCTAGTTTATGACCCCATTGAGACTGTTTCCCGATGGAAAGTTCAGGAAGTCTTTTCCTAGTGGCTTTGCCTTTGGAAACTTAGCACTGCCAACAGGGCCTTGACTGATGCCTGGGGTTGGTCTCCGGGCATCAGGTAGGTGAAAACCATTTCCAGGCTTGAAGATCTTTAGGGACAATATCCCTGTGACCCCTCTTAGTTGCCTAGGCCAATATGTTATCTTACTAGTGAGGAAGGTGTTCTTCTTTTTGGTACTTTCCCAAAAATGTCACTCCTGTTTCATTAGGTCTTTACTCATGCCTGGTCCTGAGCTGAGGCCTGGGGATATAGATAAGATGAAGTCATGTTCCCTGCCTCTAGAGAGCCCAGAGTTTAGCACTGCTCCTCATAAAATTCCTTTAGAGAATTTAAAGACCATCCTGGCCTACGTTGCTCTAAGAAAGTAAGAAAGTCAGTTATTATCAAGTTCAGATTGACAGGAAGATATACTGGGGCTCCACTTTCAGAAAAAAATTTCACCTAAGGACTCAGTTAAATGTAATTAAAAGTAGGGTTTAGTTTGTGCCAACCTTTTCCAGCAACACATCTAATTGCAAAGAGAAAGGTGTGTGCGCAAGGAATCACTTTGCAGCCCTCCCCGGGCTGGCCTCTCCTCTTTTCCATCTCAGGCCTGTGGTGCTGGCCAGCTCCCAAACCCCGCCCCGCCCCATCCCCCCCCCCCCAGCCAGGAAGTGGGAAAAGAGGGGGGAGCGGACCAGAGGAGGGGTTAGAGCAGGGAGACAGTGAGAGAGAGGGAAGAAGGGGAGAGAAGGACAGCAGTAGGGAAAGGGAGGCAAGGGGAGGAAAAGGAAAGATAGCAAAATAACCCCAATTCCCGTGGGACCTATTTTACATTCCTTTGATCATTTTTGGAAGGATGAGCTCAGGAAGTACAATTATAGCCAGCCTCTCCATCACCACTGCGAAGGAGGGAAGTCCTTTACAAGTGTTAGTTATTATTACAACATGAATAATTGAACCTCCCAGATAATCCCCAAACCTCATTTGAGTCTTTAAGTTTCTCTTCCTCTGCCCGCCAAACCTTTTAACGAAATGAGGCTGGTACAAGGGAAAGAGGTAAAGGGCTTGTGTGAGTCCCGCATGTCTCCTCCCTGCCTCTAGTCCGCCAGGTTTTGATTCTCAAACCAGAGTGACGGGCCCCCCCAATACCGAGAGGAGGGAGTGGGAGTGAGGAGGGGGCTGCATCTATCTGATCCTTCTGGATCTAGCTCCAGCCAGGCCCCCTCTGCGAAATCCCTTCCTCTCTTCCCTCTCCAGGCCCTCAGAGCCCCATATTCCACACTCTAGCATTCGGTGGCTTATGGGGTCTGTCGTTGAGTCCAAATTGCTTACAGGGTCAAGTCCAAAGTCATTCCCATGGCCTGTGAGCTCTCTGTGGTCGCTTCCTACCCCCTGTCAAACAGGCCCCACCTCACAACTGCTGGGAATACCCTCTCCACTTCTACCCCGTTTTGGTTTGTTTCCTAACTCCCTACTCATCCTTTAAACTTCAGCGCCCACATCACCTCCTCCTTGACACTGTCCCCCAGCAACTCTGAGTTCAGTCATTTGGGTAACCAGGGTCCCCAATGTGCCCACTAATCCCCACTCTACTTATCACACTCTGGCATATGTAATCAGTCGTCCACACATCCCCACTAGTCTGTGAGCTCCTCAGCGGTAGACTCTGTATTCCTACCCCCTAAATATGTTTTGAAAGAAAGAATAAGTGATGTTTTTGCAATTAGAGGGCAGAGAGCCAGGGTGGTTGTGACAGGACTAGTACCGAGTCTGCTCCTGCCACAGGGCCTTTGCACTTGCTGTTCCTGCTGTTTGACATACTCTTTCCTCAGGTATCTACTTGGGTTGCCCTCTGCCTTCGTTCAGTTCTCTGCACAAATGTCCCTTTCTCAAAGAGACCTTCCCTGGCTACTCTGTCTCACATAGCACACAGGTTCCTCACCTTGTCACTATCTATCTACCACCCCTGGCTCATTTTTTTTCTCAGACCCCTGATCAATCCTTGACATATTATATATTCACGCGCTATCGGCTGTCTTCCCTAGTAAAATATCAGCTTCATCAGGGTAAGGACTTTTATTCTGTTTGCTACTGAATCAGCAGGGTCTAGAACAAGGCCAGCCCCAGAGAAGGGGCTCATTAACTATTTGTTGCGGGCTGTTGAACTTGGACTTAAGACAGAACTGGGTTTGAACCCCATCTCTACCATTTCGAGTTCTGTGTGACCTTGGGCTAGGTGTCTGCTTCCTCTGAGTCTCACTCCTCACTCTCCACATCTGTAAAATGGAGGTGATCATCCTACATGCATCAGAGATGAGGACTAAATGAGATCAAATATTCCAAAGCACTTTGCACGGCGCCTCGCACTGGGGAGGCAAGTAATGCTTATTAGCCGAAATCTGTTGACAGACCAACATCTTGCATTTCTCTGATCTGGACAGCGGCGTGCCCTTGCACTCTGTCCTCCCCGCCCCCCCCCGCCACCCTGCCCCTTGTAGTCCCCACTGGGGTCAGGCTGTCATTCCCAGAGCCTGGCAGCTCAGCACGTACTTGCCACAGTTGTAGAGGTCGCAGCAGAAGCAGGTGTTGCCCCGGATACGAGGCGTGCAGAATCCTCGGCTGAGGTGAGGGCAGTTCACCTGAGGGCACACACAACAGTGAGGGGGCAGGCTGGCGGGGATGAGGACATGACCCTCCAGGACTGGAAATATGAGTTAGTGACTGATGGAGACGGCAAGGACGGTATGGACAGCTGTCAGATGAACACCCCCGCTTGGGAGAGGGATGGGGCTGGGCCCTGGGCTGTCTGAACTTGTGCCTGAGACAAGCCACCGAGGGGCCAGGGTCGATTCCAACCCGGGCCACAGCCCTCAGTGCCCCATCCCTAAGGTCAGAGATGCAGAAGAAGGAAGGATGGATGGAAGGACAGATGGAAGAACAAATGACAGTAGGAAACAGGACAGGTGGGGAAGGGGAGCCAGGGGATGGGGGCGGGGAGAAGGGGAGCACATGCAGGCTGAAGTACAATAGTACCTCTCTAGCTGCCTGGGTAAGGTTCCTCATAACCCTCGCGGAAGGAGAATTTTTGGTTGAGGAACTTATGACCTTATATAGGAAAAATAGGATTAGGGGGAGCAGGGTTACAAGCAAACCTATGGAAGTCATTATTAATATTTTCACAGTCACCAAGTTAACATAAGAAAATGATCAGTATGAAATCGAGAGAACATCAATGACATTTTTACACATCTCGAGTTTGCAAACAATTTAAAAGATCAGTTTTTCCATTTACCATCTTTCAAGAACTTTTCCAGACTCCCTTCCCCATATGGATGCAATGAAGTGCTTGTAAGCAGACACTTTTTTAATATATATATATATATATATATCTGGTCCTTCATGTAAATGTTCACTGCCTTTTTGATAAGCTGTCAGCACACACGCCTTTCTACTCCTCCCTTCGAACCCGAGGATAGTTAGAAAAAATGGTGAATTTGCAATGGGGGGAAGGGTGTGGTGGGGAGCAGGTGAAAGGCAGGGACATAATAGATGTATTTGCCCTGGTGCCTTGGGAGGAGGGCACCATTCCTTGGGCACCACTCAGACAGTACTTCATGTCGAATGGCAGTTTCATGTTTAAGGGCTCTCTGGGTTGGGGGGCAATTATTATGTGTTCTCTGAGCAGGCAGTGGGTTGGGTCACTTTCTGAAAATGACCCGGAGCTGTGCTTCCCCTCACTGCCCACTGCCTCTGGTTCTGCGTGAGGCATGGAAGAAGGGAGAAGTTGCCATGCAAAGTGACCCAGACTTCTCGATGGCCCTCATTTGGCTTCCTGACTTGTCTTGTGTGTGGGACTCAGGCTCTGCTTCCCTAGTCCAGACCCCGGGCTCTGGTGTGGCTCCTGCTTTTCTTCTAGCTGGTCACCTAATCCAAGCAACAAAACCATCATCTGCATAGCCGGGGGCGGGGTGGGGGGGCCTGCCTTGGGGCCTGAGCTCAGCTGTCCCTCTTGGGATGGAAGCCACACACTGAGAAGCTGCCTGCTGGGGTCACAGGGGCAGCCTGTGGCCACAGAGCAAAGTAAATCTGATTAGGTCTCAGGAGGCTCCAACCTATGACCATGGCCTCATTAGCACTTGTGCTCTGACCCACTGAGCAAATCAACTACAGACACCTAGTGGCAAGCCTTAGGCCTGTGAAAAGGAGTAAAAGAAAGGGGGTTTCCGGCAGAACAGAAGACCCTCCCAAAAGGTAAGGCACGCAGCCTCATTCGGGCTCACCTCCTCAGCCTCCTTCTGGGATGTCTTGGGGACATAGTGGCACCGGTTAGCGTAGAGTGGTTTCAGATCCTGGAAAGGGAAACAGCAAACCAAAGAGTTTGGGTTTTGGAAAACAAAGCAGCAAGTGCTCTGACTGGTAATAAAACATCTGAAAATGCGCACACACGCATGCACGCACACACGCACACGAGCAGGCAGCGGGTCGGGTTAGTTTCTGAGAGCGGCTCATCTATGGAGCCCAAGAATCTGAGGATTAGAGACAAATGTTCTCGTAACTGCTTTCCACCGGGCCACTTGGTTAATGAGAAGTTAGGAAATTGACTGAGAAATCAGTTCCTTGAAATTTTCTCTCTGGTTTTCTTTTATTTCTAGTCTCCATCTTCCTGCCCAGAGTCCCCAGGGAACAAGATGCAGCACTCTTGCAACATGGTATTCCCAAAAGGATGGGAGCCCGGCTCCCAAGATGAGGTCTCATTATCACCTGAGCTCAGGAAGCAAGCCCCAGGGGCCTGAGCAGCTGCTGAGACTGCTGTAGATTCTAACTCAGCTGAACTATGAGCCATTTTCACTCAACTACACAGATTAGATGAAGACCGTGACCTCTGAAAATACGGCGAAAGCCCAGAAGACTGACATGGGGCTCAAGGACAGTTGACTTACCCTCCTGGCTTGGCCAGCTTCCTGGTGAGGGAGCTCTCCGGCATGGGGGTTGGGGTAGATCAGACAGACACGATCCAGCGCTGCCTGGGAACTTGCAGGCAGGGGATGCTGTTCACTTTTGGGGTGATGCTAAACATCCCCCAAGGGGTAGGGGGCTTTGGCCAAAAGCAGGCTAGGATAGGACAAGCCGTTTCTGCAAACCCGCAGAGTTTGGCCAAAGCACCCTCCCTCCTGCCCCCACTTTTCTCACCAATTTCAATAACCCTGGTGGTTGCTTTTCCCCACACATGATTTGCCATCTCCTGTTCCTGGTACCCCAGGGCCTCCAGCCTCCCAGCCTCCCAGCCTGCAGCCCCACCGAGGACCCAGGACTTTCCATCAGCGGCTTCTACGTGAAACCTCCTGTCTGTCCAACGTTGGCTTAGGCTGGAGTCAGGCTGGAAAGGAATGAAGGTTCTCGTGCTCGTACACAGCAAGGTTTATCTTCTGTGCTTGGGAAATAGCAGAGGCCCCTATTATCTTGGGGAAGGGGAGGCTTGATGTGCTGGTCACAGCCCTCCTGACCTTCCGGTTCTGCAGAAAGTGTTCAGCCACCAACTAAATGAAGACAGACACATTCGCACGTGATGGTTGCCCACATGCCGCACTGAAACCCCCATCGGGAGGTAGGAAAAAGTCACTCAGCTCAGGCTCAGCAACCGTTTTAATCTGAAGGGCTACCAATCCCGGAGTGAAGAGACGGAAATGAAAATTGCTTCATGAGCAATAGTGAGTGGCTACTCTGTGCCAGGCCCCCTCAGGGCGGTTCCCACCCATCGTTTCGTATGGCACTCAGACGAAGTCTGAAAGGGAGGTTTACTGTGACACAAGAAGGTAAAGTAACTTTCCCAGCTGGCTAATGGCCATGTTATCGGGAGGGGAAGGGAAGGAAAATAGGAGACGAGAGAGAGAAGGAACAAGACACATTTAGAGGGGTGTGTAAGAAGGGTAGGTCTTGAGAGGAAATGCACATGCCCCCCCCAAGCCAAAGAACAGGGCAAGATGGTGCTGAAGGACTCCAACAACTGGGAAAGCCGGCTTAGGGGCGCCTTGGCCATCACAGCAGCTAGAGCATGCAACTCTTGAACTCGGGTTGTAAGTTCGAGCCCTATGTTGGATATAGAGATTACTTTAAAATAAAATCTTTAAAAAAATACATTATTTATTAAAAAAAAGAAAAAGAAAAAGAAAAGGCTGGCTTTAGCTCACCCAAGCGGTGCTAGGGTCCAAAAGTGCCTTTCATTGAACTGGCCAATAGGTATCGCCATCTGTCAATCAAAGCCTTCTTCCTCAAAACTCCCTGGGTGTCCGTGAGGACTGGCAGATATCACAGGACAGATACAGCATAAGCAGGAAGGTTCATCCAGCCTTACCCCAAATCTCTAAGTCTAAAGCCCTATTGCAGGCCACTAACTCTAGGAAGTACTGAGGGCCTGGAGTCAGAGACAGGTAGGCGGTCATTAGAGGAAATTTTCAGTAAATATAACTGCAATTTTCCCCATTGCCTCTGATAGAGGCCAGTGATCAAAAAAACATGAGGAGGATCAAGGAAATGCAAGTCAAAACCACTATGAGGTACCACGTCCTTTCCACCAGGATGGCTAGAATTAAACAGTCAGATAGTAAGAGTTGGCAAGGATGAGCAGAAATTGGAACTCTCGTACTTACGTTTCTGGCAGGAATGCAAAATGGTGCGGCTATTTTGGAAAACTGTCTGGTAGGTCCTCAAAAGGGTAAACATAGTTACCCTATGACCCAGCAATTCCACTCCCAGGCATATACCCAAGGAAAATGAAAACATGAGACCACACAGTACCTGAATGCTTACAGTAGCATTATTGGTAAAAGCCACAAGTCAGAAACAACCTAAATGTCCACCAGTGAATGGACAAACCAAGTGCGGTATATCCATACAGTAGAATATTACCCGGCCATAAAAAGAAATGAAGCACATGGCACAGTGCGATGAGCCCTGAGAATATCACACTCCGTGAAAAGAAGTCAGGTCGCAAAAGACCATAATATATAGGATTCCATTAATATGAAAGGCTAATTAATGTAGGGGAATCTATAGAGAAGAAACAGTAGCCTAGTGGTTGCCTAGGGCTGAGGGGAATGGGGCATAGGGAGGTGAGAGCCCAGACTATGGGGTGTGGAAAACCTTCTAAAATTGATGTGGTGATGGTTTGCTTGTAACAATGAAGATACTGAAACCTGTTGAATTGTGCACTTTAAACGGGCAAATTATATGGGATGTGAACTATATCCCAATAAAGCTGTTTATTTGGTTTTTTTCTTAAAGATTTTATTTATTTGACAGGGAGATAGCACAAGCAGGAAGAGCAGCAGGCAGAGGGAGAAGGAGAAGCAGACTCTCCGCTGAGTGGGGCTCGATCCCAGGACCCTGGGATCATGACCTGAGCTGAAGGCAGATGCTTAACCGCCTGAGCCACCCAGGCGACCCAATAAAGCTGTTTAAAAAAAAATACACATCAGGAGTGGGAGGAGGAGGGAAAAGGAGGAAGCCATTTTAGCACATGATGCCGTCAAAATCTACTGCAGGCTTCTTGGCCACTAGGCCTCTGTTACCATGGAGACTGCCTCCGAGTCTTTGACTCCTTGTCAAATGGGGATAATAATGTCTGCCCTACATATCTCACAGGATTGCTGTGGGTCTCAAGTGAGATAATAGATGGGAAGGCACTCCGAAAAGCTAAATGCGCTCCACAAAAACAAGGCATTATTGTTATGAAAATGGCTCCTGTTGAATGCAACATAGCACCCACGCTGGGATTGGGCTGTAACCTCACTACTACACAAATAGGCGTGTACTCAGAGGGTAAGATGCAGAAATGCTAAGACTTGTTACGTGAAGGTGGTAGGCTTGTGGATGTCACAAGTTCCCCATGTGTCATTTTTCTTTCTAAGAAGAAAAAGATGAAGAAGATGGCTGCCCTCAGCTAAGATCAGAAGGATTGGGTCTGATATCAGGGCCTACATTTAAATTCTTGACCCCGAAAAGAAAGTTGGGCCAAGAGCCTCTCTCTCCCACCCCTGACTCTGCCCCCTGCCCAGAAATGACCTCCTGAGTCACCAGTTCAGAAACTCTTTGTGGGGCAGCACTGACCGCATGAGTTCCTCTAATCTTGGCCAACGACGGACTGACTCTTACGCCTGAGAAGAGGGTCCAAGAGCAAGTTGGAATTGAAACAACAACATCACAGATCACCCTTCCCCAGATCCAACCATACTCAGGCCACTGCCTCAGGACGACCGGCACTATTTGCCAATATCATTAATCCAGAGAAGCTTCGGGTAATACAGGTTTGCTCTAAATTGGCTGTTTCAGAAAACAAAACATTTCCAACTAGCTCACGAGATGTTTTCATTTTCTGAACAGGAGTATCTGTGTCTGTCGTGGGGACCCAGTAAGTTGCCGTGGCTTGCGTTTGATTTTGGTTTGTGAGCGATCAGGGCTATGCTATGACTGCCCTGGGACGTAGGCACTTTTGCTTTAGTGGGCCCCTCTCTCCATTAAAAGATAGTGAAAATTATATTCTCTTTATTTTAATTATATCTAATGACTGCTTTGGTATAAAGACAAGTATATTTATATGTGAAAACTTCTCCTTCACCTAAAAACTCATCCTTTTTCTACTGATTTGAAAAGAAATGATAATATTTTTATGAAACCCTGGAAGTGCCATGGGTCACAAGCACTGTGCCCACTGTGCCTAATGGAGAAGTCAGCCCTGGCAGAATAGTCTGGAATAGCGTGGAATGGCAAGTACGAAAAGAGGGGCAAGGGCTCCTGTGGAGAGCCACATGGGAATGCCCTGAACCCCAGGCTTCCTCAGAGAAGAGCCCAAGTTTGGGTTTTAGGAGTCAAATGGCCTTTCTCAAGGCACAGCTTTGAGGATTTGGCCCCTCAACTCCAGGACTGGGCTCTGAGTGGAAGCTTCTAGCCCTAGGGTTTTCTCTGGACCCCAGTCACATCACTAAACACCAACCCCTGTTATAGGGACAGCAAGGTTCAGCAATCTGTGAACAGGTGACTCTGTGCTCAGGGTCTGCTCCTGCTGCTACTGAAACCTCCAAGGCTCTCAGAACTCATTTGTCTTCCCGCTTCTCCCTACCTCTTCGCCCCCAGCCTCCCTTCCAAGCCGTTCCCCGGCCCCAGTGCCCTTGCCTCTGCCTTTCCAAATCACACTTTCATGTCAAAGGCGATTCAGGGAAGCCTGTCCTGGCTACTGGAGTCCAAGAGAAATGGCTGTGGCACTTAGAGTTCATACCCCCAGCTTCGCCCCGGTTCTCTAGATGACTGGGGGTTGAGCGGCGTCCTCAGCTTGACACTCCGCGACTTGAGACAGGGATCCCATTTTCCCCCTCCTCTGGACCCGGCCCAGCCCTTAGCACACACACTCCACACACGCTCAGTGAAGTCTTGCTCTATGGCACGCTTCCTCTGACCCAGGGCTGAAAGTACTCACAATGTGTCTGGCAGCGAAGACCCCGTCGACGATGGCACAACAAAAGGCCGCAATCACACCGAAGCTGATAAAGACGATAGAAGCCACCAGCTGCGGGGTGGGGGGGACGACACAACACAGGTGTCTGTTAGCCTTCCACTCTTGCTGCTCCCGGATACTATAGGACCCCCAAGAGAAAGCCAGCCAAAGGCGAACTATGGCCGGTCGCCCCACGGGGGTGCTTTTTTTCAATCACTCAGGATGAGTGGGAGCCGGGGGAGGCTGGGTTAGGGGCCGCTGAAGGCATTTTTTACATTTTCGGGGCAAGTTAAGAAATCCACTCTGTGAGTCTGTGAGCATACTGTCTGCAGAGGAACATTCTCTCCCTGTGGAGGAATTTGACCGTGTGTCCCTCCCTCCTCAGACTCAGAATGATGTTCCACCTTTGACATCGCGTAGCCCAAACCCCTGTTTTATTTACTGTGGGGCTGGAGGCTCAAAGAGCGGAAGTGGTGCGCCCGGGGTCCCCATCCAGTCTACAGAAGAGCCCGGTGCCCACCAACTCCCGGGCCAGCGTTCCTCTCAACCCCTCACTGTGGGCAGCGATGGAGATGGCGATGATTCTGAGTTCCCACACAACCCCACCTGGCCTTCTGCGTGGTTGAGGAAGGCACTTTCAACTTATTAAGATTTAAATATCGAAGACATCTCCCAAGGATGGAAGTCTCTGGAACTGATCAACTCTGTGTAGTACTTACGAAAATTTTTAAGAAAAAGGTCTGCTTGCACCAGACTGCCCTATACTCTGATCATGTTAGATAACAAATTTCCCTAATAATCTGTCTTCTGATACGAGGGAGATAGCACAAGCTGATGTGGGGGAAGGTGCTTCCAGGGCCGGGGGGTGGGGGGTGGGGGGTGGGGATAGGTGTCACCTGAACCCACCATCTGCCCAGGGTCGATCCTCAGAAGGACAGAGAATCAGTCCTTTTCTTCCTCGAGGTGTTTGTTGGGGGAAAAGGGGAAAAGAGCATGGCATTAAACTGCTCTCCAGGGCAAAATCAAATCAAAGTCAAGGCTACCCTAAGGTTCTCGTTCTCAGCAGGCTGGGAGGAACTATTTCTCTCCTTCAGGATTGTTCAGAAGCCTCTGCCCATCAATCTCACTTCACAGCGCTACAGAGAATTGGTAAATAATGGATGAACGCTGTCGTGAAATTGGCATTATTAGCTATGCGATGATCAGCCCTGCAATTAAAACTCCCCCGTTATTTTGAATAATGTAAGCCCAGAGAGCAAACAGGACTGGCGGGAGAGGCGGGGAGTCCAGGTGAAATGGAAGAAGAGAATGCGGAGCGCTCCCCTGAGGGAATTCCCCACATTGCTGGGGGAGAACAGAGGGTTGGAGTTCTCTGTCCCTGGAGCTATTACGTTATCTGATTAAACTTGCCGTTAAATAGACCCCATTATCAAAGTCTAGATGCCACAGAACCTTGTGCTGCGGGAGCCTAATCAGTGCACCATCTGACCACTGTCCAGGCATCCTGATTTACAAGAGTCTAAAACTGTAATATGCTTGTAATTCGGTCGGTGCCAGGAAATCCAGCAGCTTGCCCTTGTGGGCCCCCATTGGGACATAGAACTTTCTAAGTTTTGCCTCCTGTTATCTGCTCATTCTTCCTTCGAACCTTACAACACACTTAACTTCGAGCTCTGGGTAATGGGAATACGTTCGGTTGGCTCGCTGTTTTGTCTTCGGCGGGCCCATTTGTTCTAACTGAGGTGTCCTAGAGGGTGATATCCTAAAAGGCAGGAATCCTCTGCAAAAACTTCCCACAAATTTATGCATCAGAGAGGGAGGAGGAAAGCAAAGGGCAAGATCCAGAATATTCTATCCCTTTCACTTAAGGAGACTAACCAGGGCACTGAGGGAGTGTCGGGCAAGACAGGAACAAGTCCCATACCACAGGGTCACTTTAGAGTAAGTTCCTTGGTGGCTGAGGGGGAAAAGGCAAAGGGGCATTTTCTTCTGTGGCCCGACCTGGGAAACCTTAAGAAGCATGTTAGTTACCCATATGAATATTGAGCTTTTCCAAATGAAGAGTACGATTCCATAGCTATGAAAACTTACCATCTGCCGTTTGTTCTCAACAAGGTTTGATCCGATGATTCCAAGGAATGATCCAAAGCCGAGCTGCAATGCAACATGGCAAACATATGGGAAGGTGATCAGCCTGCCCACGCAATGGATGGGATTCAGGGCAACGAACAAGGTCTGATACGACACATGCAGCTGTTACACAGATACGACGTGTTCAATAAAAGTATTTCTCCCACCATTTGTCCATCTTTCCTTGTAGAAACGAATCAGACCTAAGAAGAAACTCATGTGCCCAAAAACTCAAAGCAAAGGTCAACCAGAGCTTTTCAGAGTCTGCCTAGTTCAATGTCAATATCTATTACCTAGCGCATGACTGCAAGACTCAGTAAGAGACATATAACGGTGAAAAGCACACGTTATAGTCTGATCTTTATCTTTTTTTGGGGGGGGAAGGAGATCATCTACTCTGATACATGGATTACAAAGTAAAGATTTGAAATAGCAATTTTTGATGCATCCGGCCCACTAATCAAACCCAGGAAGTGCTTTAGAAATCAGCAAGCACCTTAACCTAGACTTAAAAAAAAAAACCCTATTTTTTGAAAGCCTGTATTTGTGGCTGACCCACTGCAATTTACGTTAGCACTTATTCACCTCTTCTTCTATCTCTGCTTCATTTATGGACAGAAAGCATTCATTAGAGGGTGAACAGAAATGGCCGTGTAAAGCCCTAAAAAAACAATCTCCCTAAGTGGCTGGAATGATGGCTCACTGTAGCAGGTCCCACTGTCCTCTCCCTTCTGCCATTAGTGGACTGAGTCAGCCAGGCTCAGCTGCACATGATCCCTAACCGATGGCTGTCGGTAGGGATAAAAATGGAATAAGTAAAAAGTGGTGAGCACGGACCAATAAATCTTAACACAAGCTCGGTGATGTAGTTACAGGTCTCTTTAGCCTCCCTGATGGGCCAGGTTTCCATCTACAGCTTTACTGTGGCTCACAGGGGCATCTATTTCCATCTGAGGCCCCCCACGCCTTACAGCCGAACTTGGAAATCTAATGGACCGAGGGCAGGGCAGAAATGGGGTGGGGCTCGTGGGGGCACTGAGTGCTGGTCTCAGAAACCCAAGAATGAAAGGGAATGACCGGAAGGGATGAATACAAATTTCCAAGGACTCATTTGGCCACTCAGCCAGCAACACTTCTTGGGAAATAGACGCCGACGTGCACGAGGGTATATCCCACACCCCCCAAGACTCTACTGAGAACATCCACACTCAACAGTTAAACTCCGCCCACCTCGCCGCCGGCTCTTATTTTAAATGTAATTTAAATGTCTTGTCGTCAAGTATACTGATTAAAACCTGGTTCTCACACCAGCCTGGGTTCCTACCCCAGCTCTTCCACCTTTGTCTGTGGGATTTTGAACAGACGGATTAGCCTCCTTCAGCCTCAGTTTCCTGATCTGGGAAATGGGGACTCTAGCAGGGGCTACCTCATTGGACTTGTGCAAGCATGAACCAGGAAGATACATTCCAAGAACTTAGCACAGTGCTTGGCACACAGTAAGTACTCAGTACATATTGTTCCCGTGGTTTTTACTATTTTTGAAGACATTTACCTTTTGAGCAGCTCTAACCTAATTTGAGCTGGAAAATCCTATCATTATTTGCTCAATTTCATAAGAGAGCTTCATGTTTGCTCTTTCCCCTGCCTGCAGTATATTCCACAGCTTTTATTTTTCAGGAAGAATTCTGTGACTAGTCTGTGCTTGTGGCATTCTGGACCACTTGGGGAGATGGAGAGAAGGTTGGAGGCAGCTTCTCACATGGAACGTAAGTCTGAGTAGTTTATCAGTATCCGCAGCTGCTTCGCTTAATGTCTCCTGAACCCCAACAGCAAGCTTGGCCTTCAGACGGGAAGCAAAAACGCTCGACATTCCAGGTGCTCTCAAATAACTCCCTGATGGTAGTGGCCAGAAGAGGTGGGCTGAAGCCTCGTGGAATTGACTGGAAAGACAAGGCACCCGGGACTTGAAGTCTCAGGTCAGCCAGTGACTTTATCCAGTTCCCTCCCTTTCTCTCTGTTCCACTTGAATCCACTCTGATTCATTCGGTTTTTTAATATTCACTAAATACTTGTGTCAGATAATAAGACATGACCTCTGCCCTCCAGCAGTTTGTAGTCCAGTGAAGGAGAGACGGACTGTGGGTTAAGGACCACAAGAAAGGGATAAAATAGTGCTATAGGAGAAGATGATCATTCATTTTGTATTACATCCCTGGCCCCACTATCTGTGAACTGTGTGACCCTGGACTAGTCCTACCCACTCTGCGTGTCAGTTTCCCCATCTATACAATGGGGGTCACAACTAACTACCACACGGGGCTGCCGGGAGGATGAAAGGAGATAAAATATGTAGTGTGACTTCTATTGGGTATTTACCCCCGCAAAGACAAAAATACTAATTCAAAAAGATCTATGCACCCCTACATTTATTGCAGCATGATTCAGAATAGCCAAGATATAGAAGCAACCTAGGTGTCCACTGATAGACAAATAAATAAGGAAGACGAGGTGTATATACATGCAGGGGAATATTGCTCAGCCATGAAAGGATGAGCTCTTGCCATTTGTGGCAACATGGAAGGACCTAGAGGGTACGATGTTAAGTGAAATAAATCAGACTGAGAAAGACAAATACCATATGATTTCACTTATATGTGAAATCTGAAAAAAACTAAACAAATGAGTGAACAAGCAAACAAAAAGTAGCATCAGACCTATAAACACAGAGCACAAATGGATGGCTGCCAGAGGGGACAGCGGCGAGCGAAGGGCAGTGGGAGATACAGGTTTCCAGTTATGGAATGAATAAGTCATGGGAATGAAAAGCACAGAGTGGGGAATATAGACAATGGTATTGTCCTAGCATTGTATGGGGACAGATGGGAGCGATACTCGTAGTGAGTGGAGTATAATGTACAGAGAAGTCGAATCACTATGTTGTACACCTAAAATTAGTTTAACATTGTGTGTCAACTATACCCAAATTTAAAAAAAAATTTTTTAATTAAGTGTGTGTGGCGGGGGGTACCTGGGTGGCTCAGTCAGTTAAGTGTCTGCCTTTGGCTCAGGTCATGATCAGGGGGTCCTGGGATCGAGCCCCACATCGGGCTCCCTGCTCAGTGGGGAGTCTCCTTCTCCCTCTCCTTCCTGTTCCTGCTCTCTCTTGCTATCTCTGTCTCTCTTTCTCTTTATTTAAAAAAAAATAAAGTATGTGGTGTGAGTTGCATAAGGTAGGATGCTAAATAAATGGTAGTTCTAAGAATTCACAAAGGAGGAGGCATTTTAAATGAGGTCAAAGATAGGTAGAGTTCACCAGGCAGGGAACTATAACATCTGTTGAGTCATGGCTGGAAGAACTCACTCACCTGGATGGCAGGTTGATGAACTCACCAGTGTTGCTAAAACTACCGTACATTTGAAAAGCATCAAATTTAAAGAAGCATGTGTCCTCCATTTTGGTCACAGTAACGCTATGGAAGTTTACTGGAGCTGATGCCATTCCCATTTGATAGACAGGAAAATGGCGGCCGAGAGAACTGTATGGACTTATCCCCGCTTACAGCAAGTTAATGACAGGGCCAGGACTAGTCCACTGGTCCCCTGACCAACAGCTGGTGTTCTTTCAGCCACACTGTGCTGCATTTGTGGTGCGTTAGTAGAATAGAGCCCTTCGTCACTGCCCCTGCCTCTCCAGGAAAGAAGTTCCCTGCAAGGAGGGAGTGAAAAGTCCTATTTGAGGAAGAGCCGAGGGGTTGAAAATTAAAAAGGACAAATCAACAGAACTTCCAGAAAGTGGGCAGTTGCTTCTAGTCAACTGTTTCCTCTCCTGAGGCCTCAGAAAGGAAAGCTCTGTGGTCACCCCTTAAGAACTGCATGGAATCATGGGAAATGCAGACCTTTGGACCTCCATCTTGATTCCCCATTACCTGAATAAATAACCAATTTGCTTTGTTTGGGCTGCCCTCCATTCGTTGAAGAAAATGTCAAACCATTAGAAATCAAAGTCAGGTTTAAGGGCTCTTTTTGGACTGGGCCCTGTAACTTAGGCTGATTCCCAGTCATTGCGGCAGACACCCAGCTCTGACGCTCAGAAGGATTAGTCATTCAATACATGTTAATTGGACATCTACTGTGCAGCCCGGCCCTGTGCTAGATCTGTGATTTGGAGACCAGAAGTTGGGGGGATGGGTTAGGATACCATGATCAAAGAGACTCAACCTCAAGAAGCTGTAATTAACTGGTCCACAATTTCTTCCCATAATCCTGAAATCCAAAAAGCTGTTAAAACCAAAAGGTTGTTTTGTTTTGTTTTTTGGTAACTAACTTGGTGGCAAAACCTTGGACTGATGTGAGATTATTTTATAATCTTTATCTACTTAGTATAAAAATTCATAGTTTATTAGAGAAATATGAAGGAGCTGCTTATGGGGGGGGGTTCTTAAGACCTCACCGGGATGTTAGATAACATAATATATGCACTGTATTATCTTTCTAAAATAAAAAAAAGAAGTCTACATTTTCAAACACATTGGGCCCAAGGATTCAGATAAGGGATGGTGGACCTGAATAAATAAAGCCAAAGAATATGGTGCAACAGATGCCATAAAGGGGGATGATGTAAGTATTTTCTGGAACCATGAGTAGGAGAACTCTATGGTACGGAGTTCAAAGATGGTAGACACCACTGTGGACCCCTGGGGTTGAAAAAACGTCCCAGCCATGTCTTGAAGTTAGGATAGAACAGAACGTCTGGATCAATAGAGAGAGAGAGCCGAGGGAGAACATTCCAGACCAGGGCGAACAATGAAAACCACAGCAACAAGACAGAAAAACCCAAGTTGTGTTCAGGGCCAGGAACTGACAATTTTGGCAAAAGAAGGGGAATGGGAGAGCAGGCCAAGGGCACCTTCAGTGAACCCTGAATGACAATGGTAAGGAGGCAACAGGGAGCCAATGACAGAACTTGCCGGCATTAGACATCTGACTGAGCAAATCCAGATTCGAGTCTCATCTTTGAAATGGACTTCTAAGGTAGGAACTTTATTTTAGAATGATCTTATATTTTAGAAATATTTTCAACAAGAGGTGGACAAAATTTCTGCCCAGTCCACAACAAACCACAAAATCCTCCTATCCAGAGCTCTGTACGTTTCCTTAGCAGTCAATTCTTTTAATCTACACTTTGTTGGATTTAGCAAGGGTCCTCACATGTGAAGCTGAAGCCACACTTGCTGAAAGAAAGTTTCTGGGCTATTGCCTCAAATGATGCCTGTTGTCTCAGTCTCCTACTCTCCCATGGTAACTCTGATATAATTTTTCAATTCACACACACACACACACACACACACACACACACCCCTTGGAAACGGGGCTGAAACTCTTATTTTTTATTTTATTTTTTCCTGAAAGGAACCCCAGGCTGGTATGGGCCTTAACAGTACGTACAACAGCTGGGGAGAGGGTACAAGAATGAAAGGATTTCCACGCTAATCAGGTGGCCAACCCCATCTTGTGGGTTGCTGGGGAAACACATTTCAAGGCCTCATTCTCCTGGATCTAAGGTTAAAGCGTTACAGAGAAGGAGCAGGCTCTCTCCCTCTGGCCCTTTTCAGCTTTATACAACAACAACCGAGCCCCCTGTTTTTTTAGGCCTCCGCTGCAGAAAGCTGACAGAAAACTCTGCAGGAATGGAATACGTCTCGAACATTCGAGGACAGTAAAAACCATAAACCAGTTTGTCTTTATCGGTTTTCGTTTTTTAAAAAAATCGCAAAGTTCAGCTTGTACAGATCAGCACATCTTTAAAGATGCGTGTGTGTATGTATGTCTTAGGATGATGGTACCACATTCTAGCTCAGAGAGAGTGGCTTAGGCTCGATTATAACTCACCTCACTGTACAAAGGCATCTCGCTTGGCAAAATACATATGCCCTAGAAAAGTTTCACCTGAGTTTAAGCTGTGCAAATATAATTACATTTTAAAATGCCTAAGACCTCAATATTTAAATGGGCTGTATGTGAGGTAACTCTTCTTTTAATCTAATAACAGCTCCCTGATTTGTCTGTTTCAAAAATTTAAAATTGCGTACTGTTAACACATTTAACCAGCAAATTAATTGGAGAGAGCAGAAAGGAAGTTTAGGATGATTCTGTGGTGGGTTTTTTGTTTATTTTTTTAGTTAACCCCAAAACAGCAGAGTTCCAAGTAGCCTGATATTTTTCACATTTCTATACAAGAATCATTTATATTCTAAGTGACCAATCTTAAAATGCTCTACTACGTTCATTCGGGTTTTATAGCTGAGCATATTTTAGTTCTTAGGTTTTAGTTCTCGCGGTTGTTGCTGGTTGACTCGAATTAGGTTCTTCTGGGGCTTTTTATTAAAATGCAGACTCAATGTGTATTACTTAGCTCATCAAAAGGAAATTCGGGTTCCCCGCCCCTACCTGAACCTGCTGGATCAGATTCTCTGGGGGGCAGGGAGCTGAGGTCTCCATTTTCCCCAGCTTCCCCTGCTCATTCTTATGCACACCAAGGTGGGGAAACCATTGGCTTAGAGTTTATATAGTACCTACCTCTCTGATAACCAAAAGATTCGATTAGTGAGAGCCCTCCATTTCCGGATAAATCTTCATTTCTCAGGCCTGGGTCGTTACTGTATTTGTTACCACGGGATCTGACCTCAAATGCATTTTTCCGTTTTTCAATCTGCAATCTTCCCCATTCATTTTTGATAATTAAAACCCATTTTAAAAGAAACAATCTACAGGAACTCTGAGAGCACCTTTTTTAAAGGTTAAACCGTGGGGCACACTGTCCTTTAGGGATGGTTCTCCTCTTAACATTTCTATGTTAGCTTTTAGTGAAACACACACACACACACACACACCACTGCTTCAACTTCCTGGCTAGCTGAACATCAGGTACCCGAATAACAACAATCACAACAATCACTTGTCCTCCTTCCTTTGTTAATGTACTCTAACCTAGCCACCCACGGGCCCATATGCTACAAAGAAGGTTCACAGTCACCATTCTAGAGTAGGAGTTCCTACTCTTAAACGACACAGAAAGCACCTTTTCCTCACCCATAGAGAGTCTGAATCCTGGCCTGAGCATTTGCTCCTCCATCAGAAATATTCTACAAAGCGCAGCTACCTGAGGCACGCAGTCATACAGACCCTATATAAATTGCCTTTCCAAGCCACCAAAGTGCAATCTTACCTCCCCTTTCCTCCTCACCGCCCACCCCCCTGCTTGTGTTTAAAAATAAAACCCAATTCTGCTGACAACTGGCTTTCTTGCCTCACCACAGGAAGTGGACTGGGTGAGTTCTCATATCACATGTTTAACAGAGGGCACTGAATGGTGTCTGCGGGACACCTGCCGTTGGCCGGTGGGGAGCCCTGCCGGCCCAAGGGCCAAGAGCAGGGAAGGAACTTACTGGGCAGCCTTCAGCTCCTGGGAGGTGGGAGGCACAGCCCGAGTCTGGCTAACCTGGGCTATTGAGGAGGCTGACTGTGGAACCTGTGGCCTAGGCAACCCGCGTCAGGCTTGGTCACTCACAGTGCGGGCTTGTCAAAGGCAACCATCTTTAATCCTTTCCTCCCCCTTGACTTCCCTCTCCAACCCCACCTCTCCAAAAAAAATAAAAAGGAAAAGAAAAGAAAAAAGAAAAAAACCAACAACACAAATACATCTGACCTCTTTGCTGTACTTAAAAAAAAAAAAATTGTCCTAAACTTCCTTCCTGCTCTCTACAATTAATTGCAAATTATAATTGGGAAGTCATACGATGGTGACTGTGATAGTGAAATATGACCCAACCTCTAGAGTTTGGCTTTCGGGTTCAACAAGCAGTATGTGCCGATCTGAACGAGGTTCATGTTTGTTTTTGTTTTTCTTTTCTTTTCCCCAGATTTATTGAGGTATAAATGGCAAGTGAAAGTGTCTGTGTTTAAAGTACACAACACGATGATCTGGCATAAAATGAGGTTTTTGTATATTAAGAGTCCAGGGGTTTCCAGAGCGGATTGTGTGCACCCCGGAGATGGATGGGTAAAGCAGTCCACTGATCTATGGAAGAAACTACCTGAACTCTCGTTTCCCATTTATTGTTTATCTAAAATGGTAAAAAAAGAAATTAAGCCTTGCAAATTTTCAAGAAACAGACTGTCACTGGCGCCCCCCCCCACCCCGCCCTTGTGAGATGCCAAGGTGGGCTGCCTTGCCAGGAGGAAAGCAAGATCCTAGCGGCGACCAGTTGTTGACGGCGGAGCATTTAATGTGTACTCGGACTGTGTGATCTAGTTTTAACTAAACCAGTCCCTACAAAATGGGCAAGTGCTTTGGAAAGGCTCCTACTAAGATGACCCTAATAATGTAAGCAGAAGCGAGCCGCAAGAAAATGGCAGAGCTGACACTTCTCTCAGGATGAGCTTTTTGTCAGCCACATTGTGGGACTGACTTAAAAAACAAGGATGCCACCTTATACGGGGACAGATGGCAGCGACACTTGTGGTGAGAGCAGCAGACTAATGTCTAGAAATGTTGAATCACTACGCTGTACGCCTGAAAGTAACGCGACACGGTGTGTCAACTCTACTCAAATTAACAAAAAAATCTTTAACCAATGCCAATGATAATCTAAGTCATATCTGATATGTAGGCCCAAAACATTCAAAATCATCTAGTGCTGTATTTCAAATAAGGATTTATAGCCATTATCTTTCACGTTCATTCTTTGAAATTTTAGTGTTAGTATGAAGGTATTAAAAATTATTGTTTTTAATCTAATCTTTGGATTTCCATTTTTGTATGTTTTAGGAACATGCCTAAAACTTACAAATGAATAAATACATACATTTTAGAAGTAAATATTCCGCATATCTTTTCTGATAGCAGTGTAGGAGTACTTTGGAGATCAGTGCTGTCGGTCACAGAGCATCAGGCTGTCCTCAGATTTCAGGAAGATCCGGGGAGCCCCATTATATATAGGAGAGCAGATGCCCCGAGAGAAAAGGACCTTAGGCTAAGGTTAACACTGCTAGTTAGTAACCTCTCCTAGACTGGAAAACCAAGGTCCTAAAGAATGAGGTGCCTTGCCCGGGATCACACCACTATTCTGGACAGAGCCCCAATTCTTCTGATTCTCAGTCTAGTGCTCTTCTTAATGGGCCCAGAGTTGCCTCTCTAAACACATATAGGGAAACCTCAAGGAGGAAAAACTGAGCAAACACTAGAAACTCAAGCAGAATTGAAAACCATCAGAGTAGAACCTGAAAGACGATCCAGAAAGCCACCAAGACCTACCTATGCCTTTTATACTTACAATAACTCCTGGGTAATAACCTCCGACGGTCACATTCTGGGTCCTGGTGGTGGCGGCAAGGCCCACCGTGAGAATTAACACGGACACGATGAGCAAGGTCACGGTGACGTAGATGGAGTTTCGTTTCCTTCGATTGAAGGCTCCTGAAAGCACACAGAGAAGCTGAAATTGCTCATTTCGGCCAGAGAAGGAATGGACTTAAAGGAAAAATCATTAGGAAGGTCTTCCTTTCCGACTTCAGCTGGTCACTGGGGTTATCTCTGGGGAGAGGAATTACTGGGAAGGGATGGCATTTCAGTTTTTTTGCCATCGTCAGGTGCCACGTTTACAATTAAAAAAAAAAAGACAAACTCATATTTCCAGTTGGAAAATGAACAACAGAAGAAATCTTACCAGTTACATAGAAATGAAACAAAAACAAATTTGGGGGCTTTCGGCATTCTGTAAAAGATGTGTCATACCTACTTAGTAGAGTGTTTTTTTAGGCTAAATTATGAGGTGTATGATAAATGGGAAGTGTGCGTGTGGAGATATTAAATGAAAATATCTTAAAGCCAATATGCGACCAAGAAGGGTTTTTTCATAAGCTGGAGATAGGAAATTTCATTTTCAGTGTAAATATCACAACCAAGCCAGGTACTGGGATTTTTTTTTTCATTTATTTCTGACATTTGCCACCTCATGTATAAACTTTAAAATGGTGTGTTGGCAAGATCTGTCACATAATAAATGTGTGTAATAAAGTAAGTGTTTGGAGGCCATTAGTCCACAAAGATATGTATCAGGGGAGGTAGATGGGGAAGATTATAACTTATACACATTTAGGCTTATGTGAGGGTGACATAAATATAAATGACAAGAAACCCGTTCCACTCAGTGCTTATCAGACACGATAGCGCAAACCAATATTTTTTTTTGAAAACAGGCTTATTAAGTCAGATAGAAAAATGGTATCTAGACTCACTTTTGAATTTAATTAAAAAAAAAAGGAACGGAGCACCGCCCCACACTCTGCCTGCATTTCTGTGGCTTGGGGAAGGGACTCTCAGCGGGAAGTACTAGGCATGAGTTCCCACCTAGGAGTTCTGTAAACAGAAGCAAAGAGGGGCGGAGGGGGGGTTGGTGGTGGGAGAGTCCAGTTCTCTAGCGAGAAGGATGAAGCAGCGGGGAGCCTTATGATGGGGTCGCCCACCCAGGCAGCTTGAGTGGCATTTATGGGCCTAAAGAGGCCACTAGAATCTGCTCCCAGGACCTCGTCATTCTGAAAGGCCTCACTGCAGCCTCAAGGCAGCAGCCGCCTTTGAAGCCGCCCAGACTGCACCACTGGGAGGGAGGGGAGAGGGGATGAAGCAAGGGGGAGGGAGGCGAGACAGTGAGCGAGACCCAGGCCAGGTGGGGGAGGGAAGGGCTGTGGCCCGGCCCGCGAAGCCCACAGCCGCTCTGCCCTCCTGGTGTGGACGCAGAGTGCCAGGAGTGCCAACCCTGGGTTTGAGCCACCATCCATCTTGTCTTCCCCAGTGCGGGCCCCGCCGAGGGTTCCAAGGGAGGTGGGAGGGGCTGGCGGTCTCCCCTGACGTCAGCCTGGAAAGTGAGGGACATGACTCATCAGGGTCATTTCTAATGCGATCCCGTTCTGAGACTATTTCACATTGAAATGTAGAAGAGCCGTTATAGGCACCCACAGACTAAAGAGCCAGACCTCGACCTGGGAGCAGAATTGGGGAGAGATGGGAGATGAGGCTCCTCTCCAGTGGGGCCTCAGTCCAGCCTCCACGGGGAAGAGCATAAAGGACCACTAGTGACACCTGTGACATCAGGGCCCTTGGTGAAAGATGGCTGTTTGGGATGCAAATGGCAAGCTGACTGGTGGAAACGCTGGGAGCAGGGCTGGGAGAGGGGGTCTCGAGGGGTGGGGCAGGGGAAGGGGGCCCCAAGATTTATTTCCTGTTCACCTGAAGCTTAGTTATCCTTTATTGGCATCTCGAGGGGCCATAAATGAATGTCTAAACCAGGGTCCCCAAGTCTGTTTGATCATGGGTGCTTCTCGGTGAATCTGCGAGTTGGTTTCACAGAGGGGCTCTAACCTAAACCTATCAACATCGCCTCCCAATTCCACCTGCCTTCTCCTGTCTCTCACCGCACCTTAGTACTCCCCTGCCTCAAATGTACAAAAGACAGCGAGGGAACATCTGGAGACAACAAGGGTATCTCTGTGACACTGAAAGAGTCTCAACACCTCACACGGAAAACACACAACTTTAGAGACTAAACGGCTGCGCGGGGCGGGGGGGGGGGGGGGGCGTGTGTATGGTCTTTCTAATTTTTTTCAGTATCACTCGCCTGCTCTTTCCCTGCCAAGTGGCTTTAAATCCTATTCACAGCTCTTGGGTCTCCTTTGTAAATACCACTCTAGCTCTTAAAAGCACAGGAGCCAGGTCAGAAAAGTGACTCAGCAAACCACATGGTGTCATTTGAAAATCTATTTTTTCCCCCCTGCTTTAGAACCTGAATTGAAAATCCAGTCAGTTGAGAAACTCGGGCAAAGATCCTACAGATTGACAGGGGCCTTGCCTCCGGATAGGATTTGCTTTGAAAATTCCTAAGAAAACTCTCTTATCACTAGGTTGAACAGCTTTTCCCTGTCTCCTTCACACCCTCCCCCAAGTCACTAGAAGGAGTATAATTGTGTAAGATAAAATTATTTCTAGTGGCACCTGGGGAGTTGACCATCATAAGGAACCCTGGAGAGGGGGCCGAATGCTTTTAAAAAGTGTAGAATCACCTCTCCATTTACCTTTAGTGTCAATTCGATTTAAAAGTCACATCTACTTAGAACAAGACACACCTGTTCTCTGAACGTGTGGTTCAGGCTTCTAGAAGGTAGCTCATTGTGTCTGTTTAGGACATTTTCCTGGTGGTTGTTTCGTTTTAGAAGGGAGCCCTATTCTTATTAGGGTACAATTTGGGGCCTGCCTTAGATGTTCCCGTGAACACAGGAACATCTGATTCTGATTTTGTCTAGTCAACCCACCAAAAACCTCTGGCCGATACCGTAAGGTGCTTGAACAAAGCTGGAGGTACTTGAAAACGGTGCCTATCGCAGTGTTTGATACCTAGCGAGCGAGCAGTCAATACTTGTTGAATAAAGAAGAGGCAACATATCAGAATCATTTCCCTTCTAATCAAAAAGACGGGGGGATTGTATGAATAAATATAAGCTGTGTTCGTAGAAATGATTTTTTAAAATAGGGCACACCTGACAGGGTCCCCAGAACTAAAAGGTTTCTGGTCCCCTGGTACCACACACCCCCAGTGTCTCTCACTGGCCGGCCTACTTGGCACCCAGGACATTTCTGTTTAAAGGACAATAGCCACCCCTGCAACCAACAGCAGTGGGAGAGTCTGAAATCCCCGTCACTGGCATTGCCTGCCCCCCTCCGCCCCCAGCAGCCTCCCTGCAGAGCTACTGCAGCCCTCCCTCTCTGCAGTGCCCCACCCCCACCCCAGATTCCCCGTGACGCTCTAGAAGCACCCAATTATTTGCTGTCTCCACCCTTCCAGATACAGCCTGGTCCCCCACCTTGGTCAGAGCCCCCACCCGCACTGCAGTCTTTGAATGTGAGTCCCTCCCTTCCTCTAAAACCTGCTCAAAACTCACCTCCTCCAAAAGTTTTTCTTCCCAAGCCTACTGTATTCTAATCGCTCCTTATTTCATGTTCCAGAGTCCCTATATACTTTGCTCAGTACACATGTTAACTGTAACTGCTACGGTCACCGTTGTAATTGTGGGTCTGGTACACAGCCCATATGATAAATCCAGCTCCAGGATGATGTAGCTGACAAGAACGAAGGTGTAGGCTGCCAGAAGGTGGGATGATTGTCTCTGCTTACTCATGTTTTACCTTGTGCATGTTCTTGATTACCCCCTTGATTATAGGGTGTAATGGCTATCAGAGTGCAGCCAGGATATGGGCCCAGTAGCCTGTCCTGTACACTATGTTGTTGATGACTGGCTAATTTGGGGGGCTCGTCTTTTGAACCAATTAGGCTTTGCTTACCTGAGTCAGCTTTGCCACACAAGGAGGGTCCTGGGAAGTCCCAGCCTCAAGCAGCCGGAAACAGGTGGCTGCCCACACAAGAGCCACAGGACTCTGCCAATCTCCCAAGCATTTCCTTAAAGGTGCTGATATCCCGCACCGCCCCCGCCCCTCCCCCCTTTTGCAGTTCTTTAACCAGAGGCGTCCAAGGCCGCTGGCGAATTGTTACCGGGAGGGAAGGAGGGCCCCGCTGTAGTAGAGGTGCCTCAGAGCCTGGGGGCGGTGTTGCAAAAAGGGAGACGGGGGTTGCTGGGAGGGGGATGTAGGGGCGCTGTTCACATGACCATCTTCATATTGCCAAGTGCCCCCTCTGTTCCCAGCCTTGTACTATCTGCTCATCCCCAGGAAGCCAGCAAACGTAGCGTGCAGGCACCTTGGTGCAGTGTGTGTCTGTGTGTTTTAAATGTTATTGTTTGGGCTGCGGTTGTGTCTTGCCTGTAGGGGGAATCCCCTCAGAAATGCTGTCCCTTGGAGTCTGAAACCCTAACCCCCACCTCCACTTCTCCTCCCCCGCCGTGCAAGGGAAGGTGGCGTTGCCAGAGCTAAGTGGGAGTCGCTCCTAAACAGCCTAGACGCTGATTCAGGCCTGGGTTGTGCGGGCCCCGAGCCAGGGAACTCCGGGGAGACTCCCCTGTCCAAACTGTGGAAACCCAGGGTTACCACTCGACTCAGGAATTTGCTAGTGCCCTCGGTGTGCGGACTTTACAAAGCGGGAGGCGTGGAGCAGGCTTGCGCGTCTGTAAGCGCTCTACGATCCTCCTCCCGCAGTATCGAGCCTGGGCTGGGCGAAGCCCACTCAGCTTCTTGTTGCGCAGACCTTTCGAGAAACGCAAGACTGGCCCAGGGCCCCTAGGAACCCAAGAAAGAACTCTCTTCGTCTTGCTCCCCAACCCACAGAGCCGTGTGTCAAGCAGCAACATTTAAAGCCCTGGACCCCTACCCGGCCCGCTCCCCTACAGGCAGACGGCCCGGCGCGGGAGGCCCGCTTTGCAGGTGGTGGTGGCCCGCGGCGGGATTGCGCGCTGCGGGCCCTCGAAACTCTCCCCCCGCCAACCCTCCCTGGCGCAACAGTCCGGCGTCGGGGAGCCAGGGGCTGCGCTGGCGCCACAGCTGGCCAAGGTGAGGAGTGCATTCCGTGTTCCTGTGTGCGCGCGCGTGCGTGTGTGTTTGTGTGTGTGTGTGTGTGTGTGTGTGTGTGCCTGCGCTCTTGTGTTAGACAGCTGGAGGGAATCTGGTACTGCTGGGTTCTGGATTCGGACCCAAGTCCTTGGCCTCATTTGGACCACGTTGCAAATAACTAGACCTTAAAAATAAAACAAACAAACAAATTCTTATACTGAATATGCAAAAGCATTGAATATACGGATCTTCCCACCATCGAGGAGATGACACTTTCTGGGGCCCCTCCGGTGAACGAATTCTGTTGAGACCCAGTCTTACGCAGGCAATAGGGAGCTCACATAGGGGGTTCAACCTTCCTCCCGCCCCCTCCTCTTGAGATGTTCCCGCAAATTCATCGGAGACCTAAGCAGATTGGATAGCAGGAATTCTGAACGGAGGAAATTTGCAGAATGTAAAGTATGTTGGCAAGAGATAATTCGATTTAGTTAGAGTGTATCCGAGGCGAATTTTAAGATTAGGTGGGATCATGGTTTGACAATCCCCTCCCGCTCTCCCGGGCTCCAAATTAATTTCTCCGCCCAGTGAAATCATAGGGTTTGGGAAGGTGCCTAACAGCTGAGGGGGACTGGGTTTGTGTTTTGTTTCTAACTACCAAAAAGCAGCTTCGAGGGGCAGCCAAGTTGATGCCTAGAGGTAGCTGTCCCCAGATGTGATGAGGAAAAGTGTTGAACCAAATCAGGCTAGTGGGTCCCCCCTCCCCCTCCATTCCACCCCGAGAGAGAAAGCGCGACTTCAGAAGATGCGCGGGCTCGCTCTGGCTCTTTCTTTCTCGCGCTCTCACTCGTCCCCCCCGCTTTTTTTTCCACACTCACGCATTTTTATTCCGTGCATTTGGAGCAGAATAGGAATCAAATTCAAGGAATGTTGATCCTGCTGCTGCAGATGGCAGGGCTGGGCTGTCTTGAGTGATTCCTTAGGAATTCCCCTCCCGCCAGCCCCCCTCCTTTCTTCTCCCCCCCGCCCATCCCCCAGGGTTGCGCAAACCACCCCCCTCTTCAGCGAGGTGCAAGTCCGCCCCCCCCCACCACTGCAGCTCTGAATTTCTGGGCACCTTCGACAGAATTGGAAGGGGGCAAGGACTCTGCTTCTCCTAATGTCGTTAGTCGTGAGCTCTTAGAAGTGACGGGGACTTTGCAAAGAGGGAGCGTCGGATGGAAAGCGAAGGCGCAGGTTGCAGGGAAGTGTTTTGATCCCCAGACAGCTGGAATTTACCACTGGCTGCAAGTCTGTCGGCACGCGCGCACAAACACGCACACACCCGCACTCCCGGGCAGGGATACTCCGACGCAAGCTTGGCGCTCGCATCTCCGCGCGTCGCCCCCGCCCCCCGCCGGGCCGCTCCCCTGGGGCTCTGGTCCGCTACCCAGACGCTGGGGTGCGCGGACCCCTACCTAGCCCCGCTTTCCGGCTCCGGGGGCGGCCCGGCGCTCATAGTCCAGAAGGCAGTGCACTCACCCCTAGCTGCCGCCGCCCCTAGGAAGGGCGGCTGGACTTACCCATGGAATCGGGCAGGGACATGTCGCTGGACCGCTGCTGAGTCAGGGACTGATGCATGGTGAAAGCTGCCCAGTGGCCCCGGCCCCCGAAGCTGCTTCACGCGCCCCCGGCTCAGGGCGCCCCGCAGAGCATCCTACTCCGCGGCTGCCGCTCCCCGTCCCTCCGAGAGCTGAGAGAGACTGCCTCTGGTTGCGAGCTGCAGCCCAAGTGCCGCCTCCCCCTCCCTTCCCCTCTTCTCCCTCCCTCCTCTTCTGCCTCCCTCTGCTCCGGGAGGCAGCAGCAAAGCAGCGGCGTGCGCTTGCGCAAGACCCCCCCTCCCTCCCCCCTCGGCCCCCCCATCCTAGTTATCCACCTCCCAGCCTCCCAAGCCAGACAGGGAGCCGTTTTAGCCCCTTGGGGCTCAGGGCTGCGCAGAGAAAAAGGGGGAGGCTACAGCCTGGGGCCAATCGGCCTTCTCTGTAGTTTGGAGAGAGGGTCTTGGGCAAACGTCCTGTTCTAGGATTTATAATTGGGTAGGGGGGTAGAGTCAGAGGTTCAGAGCTGATGAATACACACACACACACACACACACACACACACACACGAATGAGCGCACGCGCAGGGGCACACGCACACACACACACATTTGTGCAGGTTTGGTCTTAGTGCTTCCAGAATGACATAATGGAGCTGGAGATGATCCAGAGAAGGGCCACTCTATAATCAAGGGGGTGGGGGAGGGGAGAGGGGGCTGCCATATGAAGATAGATTAAACAAACGCAGACTCTTTAGTCTAGAAAGATGAAGGCTGGGAAGGGATGTGACCAGAGTGTATAAAATTATGCGGAGATGGAGAGAGGGAACACAGCCTTATTCACCAGATCTGAGAATTCTAGAACCAACAGCCCCCTAAGAGCTAGAAGGAGATTCAGCTAAAGCAAATACGACTTTGCATCAGCACCATTCCAGTCTGTGCTTTGGTCAAGATGCTTTTAGGTCAGGGGTCTCATTTTCTCATCCCAGCAGCCATGCAAGGCAGGAAGAGGAAGTATCCATAATCCCATTTTACAGATGAAGAAAATGAATCGCAGAGAAGGCACGAAATTTTCCTGTAGCCACTCAACCCGTAAGTGGCAGAGGTGGGATTTGAACCTAGATCTGTTGGACTCCCAGGTCAGTGCTCTTGCTGCTATGGCAGCTGAAAAGGAAGATTATATGGCATACTGAAAACTCAAGGCACTCTAGCCCCAAGAGGGACAACAGGATGAAAACGCCAGTAGCTTTGGAAAAAGTGAAACAGTCATGGCTGCCGGTATCCACTGTGGATTGCAAAGGGAAACTGAGGGTGAAGGGGGGACTGTCCTTGATCTTGGAGGACAGCAAAGCCCCTCCTAACTGATCCTTCCAGGCCCTATTAGGATATTGAGCTGGAATCACTATGTTGTCTGCCCAGAGAGTGGCTTTGAGTCCTCAAAACAGCAGCAGAACAGAATGAGGAGGAAGGTGAGGAAGAGGGTAACAGCGGGCTGGCAGCTCCCTCTGGCAACTCAGCCCTGTGAGCCCCGCATCCCACGGAATTTACCTGTTTGAAGGCATCCATTCTGTTTCAGTGAGAGCGCCCAGGTCCTCACTGCCAGGTCTCTTTCCAACCACCTCCCCTGATGACAGGGGCAACGCTCTCTCCGTGCCTTCCCAGGAAAAAGAAAGAAAGAAAGAAAGAAAGAAAGAAAGAAAGAAAGAAAGAAAGGAAGGAAGGAAGGAAGGAAGGAAGGAAGGAAGGAAGGAAGGAAGGAAGGAAGGAAGGAATCAAGTACAAAACTCTCCTGAGAGTCAATGGGATGGAAGAGAACTCAGGTTCTTTCCAGCTCTCACTGATCTACTGGGAGGCTTTGTTTCTTTATCCACAAAACGAACCAAGAGCCCTTGCCCTCTCCCATCTTCCAAAGGAAGAAAAGATGCTTCCTGAAGGTTAAAAAGGAAGCCCTTTGTAAAACACTTGGGCCCCCCAGGGGCCCGGCTGAATGCCCCGTGAGGGTATTATCAGCAGCCTTACACTGTAGATGTGGTTTAGAAATCTGGGATATATGTCTTAGATAGAGACAGGATGCCCACTGGTGTACACGTGTGTGTCTTAAGCATGCTTGGCTCGAGTGTTAATCTCCATAAGCCCCACAAGAGCAGACAGCAGTCCTGTACTTATATTTTTGCTGTGTTTGTCTTCAGTCCTGTTTACTAATCTCTCCCCACCCTCTTCACGCTAAGTATCTCATGTACCTAATGTGAAGATCTCCAGCAACCAGCGCTGATTTCTCAGGAGTACTATATAACTAACTGGTTTTGTTTCTGTGGAAGTAGTCTTGAAGAAACGAGGGTTTGGGGCGCCTGGGTGGCTCAGTCCTTAAGCATCCGCCTTTAGCTCAGATCATGGTCCCAGGGTCCTGGGATCAAGTCCCACATGGGGCTCCCTGCTCAGTGGGAAGTCTGCTTCTCCCTCTCCCACTCCCCCTGCTTGTGTTCCCTCTCTCGCTGTGTGTCTCTCTGTCAAGTAAATACATCTTTAAAAAAGAAAAAGAAAAAAGAAACGAGGGTTTACACAGGCTGGGAAAGACAGATTTCCACATTCTTTGGAGATTTGGGCTCCCCTCTAGCAACCAGAGAGCTAGAGATCCCCAAAAAAGCCAAATAGAAACTTGTTACTGTGCTGGTGTCGGTGGACAGAGGCCTTTCCGACTTTAGCACACTGCCCATTAAATGACACAGAGGGCCCATGTAATTTGACCTTTATAATCAAAGCCATAAACGATTGAGGTACCCTTAAGTGGGGGGGCTTGTTTTATGCAACATCTGTATTCCCAAATCCTGCATGAAAATTAAAAGGTATTTTAAAAAGTATGAGAGGAGCTGACTATTTAGAAGAACTGCCTACTTATATTTCCTTCATCCTGTCTCTTGGGGTACCTTATGGGACTTGAAACACAGCAGGCTCTCAGTCAAGTTAAAAATGACTTTGAGGGACGCCTGGGTGGCTCAGTGGGTTAAGCCGCTGCCTTCGGCTCAGGTCATGATCTCGGGATCCTGGGATCGAGTCCCGCATCGGGCTCTCTGCTCGGTGGGGAGCCTGCTTCCCTCTCTCTCTCTCTCTGCCTGTCTCTGTCTACTGTGATCTCTCTCTGTCAAATAAATAAAATAAAATTTAAAAAAAAAATGACTTTGAGACCAGGAGCAGTGACCGTAGCGGCAGCTGCAGCGTCTCAGTGAGTAGTGGCAGTCCTCTCTCCAGAGATGGTATGCTTATTTGGACAGAGGATCTGGGATAAGGGGAGGGACTAGAATGGGAGCTTGGAAAAGAAAAGGAGGAAAAAAAAAAAAAAGCAACCCACATTTCAACCAAGCCTGGTACAAAGACGCCCTTTCCTCAAAAAAAAAAAAAAAAAAGGTTATTTTACTCTGAATGATCTGGACAATTAGAAAACAAGAGGTAATTTTTTCATGGGCTCCACCCTGATTTTTTTTTCATAGATTTTTTTTTTCATAGTCAGAATGCATGTAGATTTTATACGGTAATAGGCTCATAGTAAAATTTACCAATAGGAGAGCCACCTAGATGAAGGAACAGGTCTTTCATGCCAGCAAGGCTACTATTAAAACTGCTTGGTTAGCTTCTGATAAAGAAGAAATTATTAAAATGGCTTAAAATAAATCCTTTTCATTGCAAGCTTAATCAAGCATATGATGTTGCCCTAGGTTGCAAACTGTTTTATAGCACGAGGAAATGCGCCTGCTTCTCTCCATCTTCTTCAAACTGATGATGAGAGCATTCCCTGGAAGCCTTTGGACCACTAGAAAAATGCCAGAGGGCGCTCTGTCTCTCACACATTCACCCTGGATGTAGCTGTAGCGCTCCGTCACTGCCTTATTTTGAAGATCAATTTGACCAAACCACTGTAGAGCCTTCCTGATTCCAAATTTGAGAAATGTGGGCTGGAGGAGTCCTGTCCACATGGATACGTGCATGTCAGGGCATTCATGCGTGTTTGGAATGGTGGCCACACAAGTATTCCCAAAAGCACTCACGCACATGCCTGGAAACATCCCAGCCATCGTCCGTCCACTCTGGTCATCACCACTCACCTTTCTGCTCGTCGGCTTGAGTCGAGTAAGAATAGAAGGGAGCCTCAGAATCCTTTAGAACCTCAAAGAGTCCAAACATCCCTAATTGAGGTTGAAGTTGTACTTTAGGTCAATGCCTGGTCCCCAGCGCCTGTGCCGCAAACAGCGGAATCGTCACTGAGGAGAGCCTGCTTGAGGGTGTGATTTCACCCTCGAGGCTCGACTGATTCCACTTGTCAGCTGCTCATTTACAATTTATTATTTACTTATTTATTTGAGAGAGAGCATGAGCAGGCGGAGGGGCAGTGGGAGAAGCAGTCTCGATCCCAGGACCCTGAGATCATGATCTAAGCTGAAGGCAGTTGCCCAACCCACTGAGCCACCCAGGCGCTGAATGTTTTTAAGGCTTTTCATCCATATTGCCAAACTGTCCTCCAAAGTATTTTGTAGCAAAGGGTCTTCCCACCCTCAGCATGTCCAGCACGTGTGTGGATCCCCACAGTTTCTTGGCTTTGGCTTTGCCTTGCACAGGAGATGTTTGTGCACTTAAAACACACCTGGTTACAGCCAGCAATGGGAGGGGTGAGCCGGGAAGCTCAGTGGGAGCTCAGCGGCCCCGGGGCATTGGGTGGGAACCACAGGTCTAGGAGGTAGAGGCTGAGAGCAGTCCCAGTAGGGAGAAAACACAGTGTCACCCTCCGCAAGAACCTTAGAAACCTCTAACTGCTTAGTTGTTTTCACTGTTGCGTTCATAACTGTGCTGTGTAGCACACACCCCAAAGTCTTCTTTTCCCGTAGCTTTCAAAATTTCTGTAATGGTCACTTAGTCATGCCCAGTCTGTAGTAGGGACTTAAATACCTGCTGAATACAGGGCACTTTAAATCATTGTTGGTTTTTTTTTTTTTCCTGCTTCCTGGATTAAAACATGACACTGTAAAAATTCTCCAACCTGCAGAGGCACATGAAGCAGCAAATTACTCTATTCCCCTCAATTCTACTCTCCGGAGATAACAATTTAGGGGCTGAAATGCATTTTCCCTGATTTTTTCTCTCCACGCATGCCTTGGTCGGTTTGTTTTGAGAATGAAATACTCCATTTTTAAAAGCAAACTTTGCAATAATAAAAGAAATTTTTTTTTGTTA